AAGGCGGCCAACAGCATCCTGGCTTGTATCAGGAATAGTGTGGCCAGCAGGAGCAGGGAGGTGATTGTTCCCCTGTACTCGGCGCTGGTGAGGCCGCACCTGGAATACTGTGTTGAGTTTTGGGCCCCTCAGTATAAGACAGACATTGAGGTGCCGGAGCGTGTCCAAAGAAAAGCAATGAAGCTGGTGAAGGGTCTAGAGCACAAGTCTCATGAGGAGCGGCTGAGGGAACCGGGATTGTTTAGCCTGCAGAAAAGGAGGCTCAGAGGAGACCTTATTGCTCTTTACAACTACCTGAAAGGGGGGGTGTAGTGAGGTCGGTGTCAGTCTCTTCTCCAAAGTAGCAAGCGATAGGACAAGAGGAAATGGCCTCAAGTTGCGCTAGGGGAGGTTTAGATTGGATATTAGTAAAAATGTCTTCACCGAAAGGGTTGTCAAGCATTGGAACAGGCTGCCCAGGGAAGTGATTGAGTCCCCATCCCTGGAGGTATTTAAAAGACATGGAGATGTGTTGCTTAGGGACATTTTTTAGTGGTGGACTTTGCAGTGTTAGGTTAATGGTTGGACTTGATGATCTCAAAGGTCTTTTCCAACCTCAACGATTCTATGATTCTGTGATTTTAGCTTCCTATTCCTATGGAATTACACAAAAGAGAAATGTCTGTCTTAATCTAAGTCCTTAAAGCAAAGATATTGCTGAACTGATCTGAAGCAGTACACACTGGCAGTGATTTACCTGGACCATTACCACAATTACAATCTTCACATTTTTAGGTCTTGGAATAAAATCCTACTTCGTATCTCTGACAAGATGTGTCTGGCATATTTTTGCCCTGTGCCTAGCTGTGTCTGGCTGTCACTAGCAGCTTCATTTATCAAGCACTTAGGTGTTCCACAAATAAAAAAAAAGCATGGTATAATAGCTAGTTATTTTTCTTACTAATAGTATGTTAGATTGGTTATAGCAAAAATGCAATGTTTATTGAACTGAAGAAGCTGCATGACTGTAAATCATTAAACACTTACTTCTTTCACGAACCACTGGCAAAAAGCAGGGCCAATCCACTCTCTTGCATGAATCCCACAGTCTATCCAGACAGCTTTCTTGTAGGGCCGTGATCTTTTACCTAACTTGAAGTGTGAATATTCGTAGAAGTATCAATAGATCTCATGACATCAGTGAGACACAATAATGAGAAAATAATAGAGTATTAGAAACACTAAACCATTTTGAATTTCCTCATATAAAGGAACACAAATTTATTGTTTTCAAAGGTGTGGCCAAGATAATGAGGCTGATCTATGGGAAAAAAAATTACAGGAAAAGTGAGATCTGTCAATTCCTCTTTTATGAGGAGTGATATCCTTAAATATCACATGGAGCAGGGTGAGGAAAAATGACGCTACAGGAATAGCCTGATGCAGAACCAAATTTTCAGAACTCTGCAACAGCAGATGAAAAGAAAGTACATTGAAAGCAAAATTCTTTTTTGTGTCTTGCTGACACCCTCTAATTTGTGGTCCTAATAATGTGAGTTGAGAGCACACAGCCCTGAAATTTTGTCAGTAGTTAAAGAGGAAGCGTACGTGGTGGCACATGCTGAGAAGGGCTCCAGAGTCCTCTGGGGTCCCTCTCCAGCATAACTGCTTTCCAAGTTGTCTATAAACACAAAACTTTCCCATTCCCTTAAATCCAAATACTGCTAATTAAACTTGTCCTGTAATCTATCTCCATGCATATCCAATCCAAGTAAACAGGGTTTGGCTTTTAGTTTTCCAGCCTTTAAAATTTTTGTTCATTAAAGAGGACAGAGAGACACTTAGATCTTAGCAACTCATCCCTGGGAAACACTGTTAACCTGCCTCTCCCAGTGTACATGCTATAACATAAGTAACAAAGCGTCTGTCCCTAATTGAACATTTTAGTCTGATTAATGACTATTTAATCTTTACCTTGAGTACAAACAGTGGTCTCCCTTCATAGGATTTTCCAACAGAGAACATGTGAACAAGATCTGAATGTGTTTTATTCAGATGATGCATCCAACCCTGGATCTGCAAATACAGAAATAAAATTATTGATTTGATCTTTGCATTTCATGGGAAGCAACTGTAACACCTTTATTAATCTCAGCTCTCAGTCCTCTGTGTGTTTTTGGATTTTCCTGTAGTTTTTCTTTTTGTCTCTTTTTTGGGGTTTTTTGTTTGTTTTTGTTTTCACACTTGAACCATCATCGGGCTCTCATAGCTCTATTGGCAGAGGCTGGATGCAGCCTTCAGTCACATGGGATTTTTCTCCCATTTTATTGTTGGATATTACTGGAATGCATTGGCTGCCCACCAAAAATCTGGGGATGGGTCTAATCCGCCATTCTCACTAAATATTAATCGAATGAAGAAAGAAGGTCCCCAAGTCTTCTTGCCAGGACACAGAATGGAGGATAGAATGACCTGCAGGACTCAATGCTACCTGCAATACTTGTTTCACAGGCACCAGATCTCATTGAGGTGCAGCACCCTCCACGCTCAGCCTAGTGACTTTGTTTCGGTGCAGACTGAAACTGTGCATGTGAGCACACTGACATCAACAGAAATTATTTCCCCAGCTATATTCCAGGATAGTATCCCTTGTATATGAATTTGTATCTAAGTGTTTTTAAGTCTTTGGGCCTCTTGTGCAAATACTTAAGCATTTGCTCATATTGCTTACTTAAATGACTCAGGGAGACTAATCACTCACTCAAATCTCTTATTCCATCAGAGAAAAAGACCTACTTTAAAAACAAAACTCAGAAGCTGGCAAAGATAGTTACATGTAAAGATAAGCCTTGACTACAAGTATTAATATCTATTTTCAAGAAGGTGCCTATTTTTGAAGTAGAAACATTTAGAACACTTCTGAGGATGAACAGGTAACCATAACTTGTAGAGAGAGTGAAATCTTATTAAAAACAACAGTGTAGCGGATAAGAGGATCAATACGAATTTTCACGTACTTCTTCGAGGGAGTGATACACCTCGTAGTTATACCCAGAGAGCGACCTTCGATTCCTATATGATCTCAGTCCAGTTTGGTTTTCTATTGCTTTCTGTAGGTCTGATATGAGAATCCTACGTAAAAAAAGATAGCAGTATTACTGAAAAACTAGTAGAATACACAGGCTAAAGCAGAACAACAATCACATTTAGAAGAAATATAGCAGGAGTTAGACCATCCTGATGTTACTTCATCTGTTATATTTTGACAATAGAGTGGTTCAGGCTTATTTAAACATATGCTGCCAAATAAATACTTCAGCTGCTTTGAAATGTAACAGTGCCTTCAAAAAACACAATGAGCTTGTTAAATGAATAAAACAGAACGATGTAAATAATGTAGCCAATGTAAAGAAGAAGCCACTTTCATTTGTTTATGGAGCAGCATTTGCTGTCTCCTTTTATAATGCAGTTATACTGCGTGATCACGGATCTTCAAAAATTGATTTCAAAACCATAAAAAAAATCTTTTTAGGCTTAGAAAAACGTGCACATACTTTCTCTCAGGAGTTATTGTACTGGTATGGAACATTACATATACCTACAAGTTGTAGAGGCAAAACCAAAAAATGAAGAACTTGGCAGCATTATCATTCTGTCTGAAACACAACAAACAACAAAGAAAGAAAAAGTCCTAAGTGTGGTTTGTTGTTTACATTATCTACTCTGCAATAGTTGCCAGTTATTTTAAAATAACTCAGGAAAACCATGAAACAATACTAAGTGAAAATTAAATATGCTTGCATAAAAAGTGAGAGGTGCTTTGCATTAAGAGCAGAATGCAGAAACAGTGGTGTAAGCTATAAACTTTCCTATTTTATGGCAAAAGCAAATAATGATACCAATATAAAAATGTAATAGAAAAAGAAAACGTCTACAAAGAATTATATTGAAGAAGTTGGAGCATCTATCCTTTCCATCACACAGTGGCAGGAGCTGGGAATATCGTCACTGACATCGGTAACAACATCACTGTAAAACTGAGTTATCCTTGTATGCCACCTTCTCCTAAAGCATGGCAATATGTAATCACCACACCACTAATTCATCATTCCTGTAAAACGATGGTCACATTCAACCTTTTAAAGTTTTATAGACATTAGCTGCAATGGTTGGAAAAAGATGGAAAGAAACTGCATTGACTCTGATCCTAACTCAACTGTGCAGCAGATACTGCAAAGATAGTAAGTCTGTCTACATATAAGATCAAAGTAAAGGTTATCCCCATCTTCAAATGTATTAGTGAAGTAATTGTATAATTAGGAATTACATTGTTCTACATCAGGAATTTTCATTAAGCAAACTAAGGGCTTATAGTCTTGACTTGCAAAGTGCTATACACTCTAAGACCAGTACTGTAAAGCATTTAAGACTGTAGTTACATTAAAGCAATGGTTTTATTCAAGACATTAGGGCATCTAATACGTTAAAAAAATACTTGCTTGCTTTGCTGAATTCTGGTTAGTGCAAGTACCTACCAGAATCAAGCTCTGTTCACTTTTACAATAATGGATTTAATTTCACAACTCCTGATTGTTTATGTGTCTGTACTCCAAATGAGATTTGATGATCTTTACTCTTAAATGACTGTGTACTGTGTGTGCTTGTAACACAGGCTGTGAAGTCCCTCAGGTCTGAATACAACCTAAGTGGCTTTGTTGCCAGAGAACTTACAACCAAGGCAACTTGGTGCAGTAAGAGTTTATCTGATGCCTGGCTTGTTTTCACGACCGTCTTCTTGTCATAACGTCAAACACTGGGACAGACAAGCCTGTCTTAACAGGCAAGGGCTGGTCACCTTGTTCATTATTAGGGCTGCTTAATGTTTCCTGTCTTTAGAAATTTGTCATAATTTAGGCAAATGTCACTCTGTCAGGCTGAAATTTTACATGGGGTTTGCCTCAGATTTTCCAGTTCCAAAAGAGATGTAGCAATTTAACTCCTTTGCAAATAATGTGTCAAAAATAAAATAAAATAAAATAAAAAAAAATAAAATAAAATTTAAA